GAAAAAACGGCTTTCTAAATATATATTAGTATAGATAACAAATAAAATAAATTTTTTAAATTAAAAATATCCTATGGAAAAATTAATATGAATAATTTTTTAAATCATTGCGGGCATTCGATATTTTCAAAAAAAGTGAAAGCATTGAAACGTAAACATTTTTTTCTTTCATATTTTCAACATAAATGCGTCGGGTCTACGTAACCGGAACGAACCAGCTTTATACATATCTGGCCAAGGACTGTCACTCCAGCAACACTCCCCAAAAACTCTATGGGGAATTTGTTTGCTGTTACAACAACAACAGGGAAAACTAATACATACATACATATGTATATTTACATAATAACACCAAGTCAAATCACATCGAACCAAACGAATTCAATGCAAAATAATACCATGGAGGGCTTCTGCCATGAAACATACAGAAAATATTACCACCCATAAATGGTTCATTTCCAATTACAATTTTAAATCAAAAGAAAGACTGAACACGTTTCGAAATCTACTGAGGCCCATGTAGAAATCAATATAAATTGCAGCAATCTTGAGAAATTAAAATAAAAAAAAAAACGCATACGAATGAAGTAAGCAATGCAATAACAAAACCATAATTAATAATTTACATATACATACTTTTATCTACTTCACCAATTTGTATGCATTGACGGTATGTGTTTAGTTACATGCAACACGAAGCCTTACGATGGCATTAAGCGAATGCTAAATAGTCTCAAGTGCATAATAGTGATTGCAGTAAAACGAAAACGAAAAAAAATCATAAATTTGAAAAAGTGAATTTCGTCTACAATTATTTTCACTTGCACTTTGATTCCGATAGCGAATACTGTTACTCGAAACTATAAAAAAGATAACAAACAGCGTAAAAAATGCTACACATGCAAGAGGTAATGGGAGAAAAATGAAAGTGGCTTTTTGCATTCACATACGAAAGGAGAATTCACTTTTTGTGTATAACTTAATTATGAATTATGAATACATGCACTCACAGTATTGGTATGCAATAATTTTTATTTTTTCCGCTAATTTTTTATAAAAATCCAACTAATATTACAACATAAAACATAAAAATATAATTGCTAAACTTTGTGCAAAACTCATGAAAATTTCATATATTTTCATACAAATTTTCAAATTTTTAATCATTTTTTGAGAATTATTTATATAAAAAATTCAACTTTGAAGTTGCTAAAAAAACGCGTTGATTTTTGAGAATTTTTCTGTTGAAGATGTTTCGAATTTTTTCCTTAAAAAGTATTTTCGAATTTTTTTTTGAGAAAAAAATATGAAAAAAGTAGTCTTAGCTTCTTCAGACTAGCATTACATTATACTAAAATTTAATGGGCTACAAAACTGCATACTCAGAGAGGTTGTAAAAATCTGATAAAAAAGTGGAAAATTTATTGAATTTTCCTTAGTTTTGCACAAAGTTTAGAAATCATATTTTTTACATTTTTCTTGTACAAAAAATTAGCGGAAAAAATTCAAATAAAAATTGTTGCATATATTGTGTTGTGAAAAATTCTCTGTGCCAATAGTTTTTGCGGTGAGGTTGCATATTTATGTACATGAATAACAAAGATGTCGAAAATCATCGGCTGATATTTAGATACATAAGTGGAGAAGGATACAGAAAAATATAGTAGTCACATTCAACTAAACTTATCTATATTAATGACCATAGCTCAGTTTATTTTAAATATTTCTTTAGTTTTCCAACTGAACAAGTACAGACTTATGGAATGTAATGGTTTTATGACATGGACGAGAAAATATGCCAAGATCGTTTTTGGAAGTACATATGTACATACATATGTATGTGTATTTGGCAGATATCGCCCTGAAATTTTCGAAAGTTATGGCTTCAAGCATTGACTACAGATGGGAGTTCATGTGTTGAAATTCTGAATTTATGCTTTACTTTTGCCAAATTGATTTGGCTGCTGTAAAAAGAGAAAGCGCACCCAAAACAATGGACAAAAATCGAGTTATTTGAGTTCAGCAACCCCGTGGTTGATGGTAGGCGAATTAAAAACTTCGGTTAAAGTTTGTGAGCATACACAGGAATAAATCAATTTTTGCAATAAACCAAACATAAGAAATATAATTAACCATAAAAAAATAAAAAATAACAGAATGCAGTAAAATAATTCAAAGTGACAACGGTGCCAAATAATGTCAACAACCCAAAGAAGTGACATAGTACTTCGCACCACAGCAAAGCAAGTAGTTTTCGGCGCTTTTTAATTGCATCAGCTGGCAAAGAGGATGGACGATCGCCAGCCAACACATTACAATTAACACGGCTATACCGGTTTGCGAACTCGCGCGTCTATCGCACATCGCATCCTCTGCCACTTTTACGTACGCCTAGTTCGACAAACATTAAATAAAAAATACAAATCAAGTTTGTCAAAATAAAAGCAAAGAAACACTTGGAGCTTGTTACAGTTTCTTTATAGATGGCTACATATTTATTCGTACACCAGCAAATGACGTCTCCACAACTGCGACGAATAAAAACGTGTGGCTGGTAAAAAGTTATTCGTAGTCGCTGGTAGGGAAATTGGCGCGATTGTACAAAAAGAGAAAGGCATTTACCTTTAGCACATCTTCGGTTACCAGCAATTTAAGCGGCACATTGGCTGATTGGCTGCTTGGTTAACAAAGGAAAGGCGCATGCAATGAAGCGTTCAAAGAAATAAAAAATAACCAATACAAAATATAAACACTTTGAACAGAGTTTTCGAGTTTTCTTTTTAAAGCGTAGATCATGAAAACTTGGAGGTTCACCAAGGCAAGACGGGTTGCTCAAAGTCGTGGTTATATGCAGCTATCCACAGGTGATGACGTTGCCAGCGATTTGGGCAAAGTGATGGCAACTTAGTAAATATTGCGAAAATACATATGTACAAAAAATAGCAGAAGCCTTAGCGATTGGTAAACATGTGCTTACTTGATTTCTACAGAAATACATGGCCTGACACATTTTTTTTTTTAAACTAAGAAACGGCTGATAAACAAGAACCTGTGAAGATTAAAAGCTTTAGAAAAGGGTATGTACGGACATATCTGTGCCCGTCAATTAAAGTAGCTGAAGTGACTTTAGAAGGTTTGACTCCGAATAAAAAAATACCTAATACTACCTAGACAGCCACTTATACAGTGACTCAAACAAATGACCACATGTTGATTTTTTTTTAAATATTCCTAATGTTTTTCGAGCTAAATTTTTTTTGAACTGATTTCACAAAAAGGAGGTTATCATTTCGTCGGAATATATTTAATTTTGACACGTTTTTCCATATAAGCATGAATTTCTTTTGTAAATTGCACTTGTTATATAAAACTCACACAAAATCAGTCTAAAAAAACAAACAAAAAATCTCAAAAATCAACGCAATTTTTTTGCCGATTGAAACTAGCATTTCATTGGACTAAAATTGTATGGGATATAAAACTAAACGTTGAAGTCTTGACGAAAAATTTTTAATTTTCCTAAATTTTGTACAAAATTTGAAACTGTGATTTAGGAAGGTATTTTTATAGAAAAAAAAACTTTGGCTCGAAAAACAAAAGATACGTTTATAAAAAAAAATGAACAAGTGGTCATTGTGTCACTGTATGTATTAAGTCTAAACTTCCGAAGACTGGCAAAGATCTATCTGTCCTTTTGTATACCAACTGTATGAATTGATCTAACTTTGTTTGCGTTTTCTCACAAAATTTTAATTTTGATATAATTCTGTATATTATTAACCGTGCGATATATATTAATCCCGAATTAGATTTACTAATTTCGTTATAAATATTAGGATTTCATAAGCATTTCTGAAGCCGCACATTTACACAATCTTAAGCCGAATTTTTCATTAATCTACGAAGCCATAAGGGAGTGAAGATTTAAGCTTTGTTCAGTGAAATTAAAACCATAAACTGTTAACACACTCCCTTTTTCGGTTTATAAGATGTTTTCCAAGCTTCAGGTGATAAACTTGCCAATCTCGGTAGTACGCTGCCAGATATTACATCTAAAGGGCTCTATTTCCAAAGGATTCCCAGAGCTGCCAAAGTGTGTCTATAACAGCAAAACTCCAAGAAGCTTAAAAGGATGCTACTGAAGTGATAGTCCTTGGCCACAAATGAAACCTAAAGAGCCTGTCAGAAGTGGCAATGCAATATATTTCGAAAAGGCTGTCAAATTGAGAAATTTTTAGAAACCAGTTTCATGAGCATGTAAAGTGTCTTTTGAAAGAGGTCTTTTATTTCCGAAAGCCGAATTGCCTTTTGCTAGTGCAGTACGAGCAAGTTAAAATATATTTCCGAAAACGATTTGCCGAAATGCGACTGAAAGGTCTTTCTGGCTGTTCACACATCGGTATAAAATTTCTGTTTCGCAATTTGACAGCGAATTGCGTGGAAAAGTTGGAAATATTGCCACGTCTGAAACGCTCTTATGTTATTACGTTCAGTAAAAATGAAACACAATTAAGATATCGCTGATTTACTAAAAGACTGCAATAATTCAAGACGGCATTATTCAGGAGAAAATTTTCAAGTAGCTTACCAAGTCTTCATGAGCCGAGAATACACAACACACATAACGAATAATTCGGCATCATTTTCTCGAAAATTGCGTTTTTCGAGTTATGTCAGTCTTTTGGTGATTATCGATATGAAAATTGAACTGTGCAATTACCAGAAACGATTCCTATTGCCAGTTGCCCACCTTTTTACTAGCTACAAATCTTATTAGTGCCAATAATTCACACCAACTTGGCAGCTCATGTGAAACATGCAAACATTCCAATAAGACCATGCTAAACCTTCATTTCTCATTTCTAGTACGAATTAGTGTGACACGCAACCAACTGTTGCGTCTAATTAGATCTCCACAAGTATGAAGCACGCAAAATTTCACCCCAATTCACGCGCCATGTAAATAGTCGATTACTACAAGTACACAACTTTATATTTACCTTTGGAATATGCAAATTTTATCTCTTTTAATAATATTTATTATGCGCGCCACAATCACAGGCGCTATTTTGTTGTTTTTCCGCTGCTATTTCATGGGCAAACGAGTTGCCAATTCGCAAATCCCACAACGCGTAATCTTTGTAGAAGAATGCCAACAAAACAATTGTTTTTGTTATCACTCGAACGCAAGATATTTATAGCAAATTTAAATAATTAATTTTGTCTCATGGAAATATCACTTTTCCACGCTATTGGTAAAGTTAAGTTCGCAAATATATGCGAGCATACAAGTATCCACGCGAACAAATCAAACAAAACGGCAACAAATTGCACGCAAAATCGATCAGACGAGAAGGTCCCGTAACCTGATTTTTCGCAATCACTGACCCAAGCGATTAGATGTATTATGGAAAAATGATTGTATTTTCGGCTGGTTATTCTGCGGCCACACCGCTAACAACAAAACACAATAAACTACGTGTTTCTTGAAAAATCCACGCTCCTATTTTGATGTTTTACAATATTCGTATTGGCAAAATAGATTATGGCATGCGCGTACCGACGAGCGAGCAAATTGAAGCGAACGAAACGAAGGCAAAAAGCAAACAGATGAAAGCTTCAATTTAGAGCTGTCAAACTATCGATGGCACTATCGATACTATCGATGGTTTCACTTTTTTTAACTATCGGTTGATAGTCGGGACTATCGACTAACGGTTGCATTTTTCAATGGGCACGTTCAGAAAGTGCAAAAGCTCAGTAACTGTTGCGATTGCACCTTCTGACGCGTTGTTTTGTACTTCTGATCAGCTGTACAGTTGCGTGTTAGATGATCGTAATATTTTTCTGATCATTTGAGACAACATGTTGTGTGTTTGGAATTTGACAACTAATGTATCAAGCCCTTCATAATACACATTACAATCACTAATTTTTTAGCAACGATTGTGCTCAACTGCCGCGCCTTCTGAACATACTCAATCACAAAATTCTTGGATGTAGACATTTCGAGAAAGTAATTTTTATTAGTTCTTGAAAAGCAGTGTTATGCTTCTGCAGGTGTGTATTTTGAAAGTAAGTAATAATTCTCAAACGAAAGGAATAATTTACAATCCAATTCTGTTTAATAGGCCCTTTCTTTTTCAACCGACCTACAAAAGAACACTCGCTTAAACTATGTTCACATATCAATATTATCTCAATCAAAGCTCGTTTTTTAATCACCCCGTTTACAAAGGCAAATCTCAGATTATTCGCCGTCAAATTTGTTGTGCTTGTTATTCTCACATCTCAAGGAAAATTTATGTTTCTTCTCTGTGCCTCCGTGATCACGTTTTTCTGCTATAATAACCAATATAAATATATTTTAACTTAACATTTTATTAAAAATACCTTTACAAACCTCTTTTACTTGCTAGCGTACATTTTTGTTTACTTTTACATTTGGCATTTCTCTTCTCTTTCGCAAAAACAATCGATAAAACTAGGATGGACACCGAAAAGTTATCGGTTAAATCTGAGATTATTTTATAATTACAGATTAACAAGGGACGAATTTTATATGGCTAATCTCTTGTTATAATTACAGATTAGGGTGTTAAGCTCGAAAATGAGAATAATCTACTTATATGTGAACCTAGTATTATTAAATGACGAAATACACGGAAAGCAGCAACACAAACTCGGCTATTTATCATACACGGCCTGATGAGTGTTGTTAAGTAAAAAAACTGCTCTGTTCTGAATTGTTAATGAGAAAGTAGAGAAGGAAATTTTTGTTTTCGTATATACATGATATATAATTTAAAGAAGTATATATATTACGAAACACCTCGCATAATAATTAAATTCTATTGTTTTTCGTGTCTAAATCCCGTTGAACTAATCACATGTTTCTTGCCAGCTACCAGCAGGGTTGCTTAAGTTGCTAAAAGAAAATTTTACCCGAGTTGAGCGTTTTTTTGTCGCTCGCTTACAAAGAAATGCAGCTAATATAATAATATTAAAAAGTTTTTATGAAAAATTATTGTGGAAAAAACCAACAAATGGTTGAAGTATTAGCTGCAATTTCGGAATTCACCACAGATGTGTATTAACAAAAGTTTTTGGGTTGTCGAGTGATCTTTTAAGAACTGCTTGAACGATTTCGCTAACTCATTTTTTTTTAGTATTTCGCAGAATGACACTAGTGATATTTGGAGTTCTCACTCACAGAAGTGTATAAAGGAAACATCGATAGTGGTCATCAACGATCGATGTTTAACAAAAACGTAAAAACATCGATGCATCGATAGTGCCATCGATGTTTTCGCCACCTCTACTGACGAAAGGGTAAACGGAAAAAGCACAGAGTTGCAAGACAATATACAGATCGTCACCTGAAATGCAAAAAGACGTAACAAGCATTATCGCTGAACTTCAAAAAGTCATAACCAGGGAACGGATTTAATGGAAATTGCTTTTTTTTCTGCTAAAGAGATAGAGTATATTCGATTAAGAATGTCCACGATTTAGCTTTCTCTGATTCCATATATACACATTTGATGTTGCCTTTTTTAAGATATTTGCCTTCTTTTTGCCTTTTTTAAGATATCTGCCCTTTTTGCCTTTTCTACCTTTAAAAAAGTGATTATAGCATTTACAGTTTTTTTTTAAGATTAAAAAATATACACTTATAGAAGCGCAGGGACCTCTTGCCAAATTGGAGTTGGAAAAATTCAAAGCCGTTTTCTCAGCTAACGTAGGCTTGGAGACAATAAGGGGTGTGGATAAAATTGTAAAGGGCGAGGAAACGCCCTTATTCCTGATAATATGAACGTTTCAAACGTCCCATATTTAAAATGGGCTCCACTTGTATCAACTTACGTCGAGCGCACATTTAGTACATTGAAGGCTTTTCTTCGCGAAAATCGAAAGAAAATGCTGCCAGAAAACTTCAAAATGTATCTTGTGGTTCAATGTTACTACAACTACACAGATTCAAGTTTTATGAGTTAGAAACTCGAAAGGATAAAAATACAAGTTTTTCATATAATGAAACTATTTCATAGTTTTTCTCTTTTTACTTGTAATATAAACATTTCTAAAATAAATGTATTTTTTGATTGTTCTTCGTATTTTCTGTTTTTTTTAGTGCCTTATTTTGCTTTTTTGCAATACGTAGTGCCTTTTCCTGCCTTTTTCGCTATTTTGTTTTGTCCTTTTTTGCAATACCTAGTGCCTTTTCCTGCCTTTTTCTCCATTTTTTTTTTGCCTTTTTTATAGGTTTTTAGGTCCTAAAAATCCGTTCCCTGGTCATAACCAATAAAAATTCCAATATTCACTTTTTGATTTATATGATGGATTTCATGGAATTACAACTCCCAACATCATTTTAGGAAAAAATATAAAAATCTTAGTTACGTCTTTTTGCATTTCAGGTGAAGAGGCGGCGGAGAATCAATGCATATTAAACATTACCAACATTAAATTTAATTAAATCAATTTGCCTTGTGGAGAATGAAGTATGTTGAAATTTGTCGATATTACTATCAATTACAATTAAAGAAAGTAAATAAAACTATTTATTTTATGAAAATAAACCAAGAAACGCATCAAAATCACAAAGCATGACAGAAAAAAAGAAATACATACCGCCAGCGAGGCGCCTGGCACCGTGTACATGACTGCGAGCACTAGCTATACAAATGAATTGGCAATATATGCGCTAGAAAGGGTACACACACGCTTTACCCAGCTTCAAGTTCAGCGAATTTTCTAGTTGCACCAAAAAATATGCAACGCTTTTTTTTCTTCTTCAGATATGTATGCACTTCAAACAATGCAGCTGCTTTTGACGGCATAGAAAACACTTGAGCTCATTGAATTCCTCGTTGTTTATTGTATCACTCTGTTGTCTGCATATAAAATTTATTATTTTTTCACTTAACTAAATGTGTATACAGTTTTCTTTATCGGCCAGAACACTCATCTTTACGCGCAACTACCTCTGCTTTTGCGGAAGTACACAGCACTACTGTCAAACAGCAGGCATACCAGTGCGGAAGTAGCGAGATTTCTGAAATCAACCGAATGTGAGCAATGTGTGTGTTCAGTGAGCGTCGGCCGGAAAGTTGGCTGCTTTTCGTCAATCAATTTCCGGCAGTGCATTTGGTCTGATCCCTAACCGATTCCAGTTTCCGGTAGTACATTTGGTCCTTAACCGATTCGGATAGTGCATTTGGTCCCAACCGCTAACCGCTAAGGGCGATGTTTCGCAGACGATCATATGATCCTGGTCACGACACTTTTCCTCTCATTTTTTCCATTCTTACTCTCTTTGATCAATTTGCTGTTATGCTCAGTTGTATTTCTTTCGTCTTTTTTTACTACTTTTTACATTTTTGTGACGAAAAAAATAAGAAACGGTATCACGGTGCAGCGAACAAAGGTGGTGCCGTCAGTGGTACCGCTACTTT